ATGTGGTCCTGACTCGATTATTTACAGATCGCCGTCATATATCTGGATTATTGCTAAGTACGGAGCTAAACAACAAACAAACATGTCCATCGCAGACTGTACGGGATAAATAAATCCAGCTGTTGATAACTCCTCCGGCGGGATGGCGGTCAACATTAAACGCACCCATACGTTAGTTATTCAACAGAGGGCCATCAAAGAGTCGTGTATTTATCGCCCAACACGGTGGATACACCAGATATTGATCTACATGCCCGGAATTAATTTTATGGACGTGTATCGTCATTTCACTTCACTATCATTTCATCAACCCCCTAATTTTTGTCTGTAGCGTATGTTTTCTACTATGCATCAGGGAAATTAAACTTTCGATTGTTGATATAAATACTTTACAATCAATATTGCCACTTTGATGAAGACTTTTCATCTCTGTTTGATGTTCTACGCGTTTTACTTTCTTGTCATTTTACACGCATTAAATGGAAAATGGACAAAGACAGCTTTGTCAAACATCGAAGCACCTCGTAACCTCTCCCAGGTGTGCATTATGTCCGTACACACGCGTGTTCGCGTTAATGCTCTTATAATATATCGGGCACACAGGTGGCCCCATCGCCGCATCGCTGTGCGGAGTTGTCTCGGGTTGGCACTTCTGAACACTGTGGTCAGGAGTTCGAATCCAAGTGCCACGATTTCTTGACCTGAGTGAGTGAGTTTAGTTTTACGCCGCTTTTAGCAATATTCCAGCAATATCACGGCGGGGGACACCAGAAATGGGCTTCACACATTGTACCCACACGGGGAATCGACCCCGGGCCTTCGGCGTGACGAGCGAACGCTTTAACCACCGGGCTACCCCTTCCCCAAATCAGACTAAACAGACGCGTCAACCAGACATCTGACAGTTACATAACCGGAAGACCGAGGATGGCCATTCCCGCAAGATGAGCAACCCCAGAGCATCTCATGCTCGTAGTGACGTCATCATTAAAAGGCCACCGGAGTACAGAGGGCATGACGTCATCATCGCCTGTTCTGACGTCACGGGGTTCCAATCGGCCGATGGCTTATTTTGAATATTCTGGCGCAGTGATGAGGCCGTGCCCAAGTCTATATTGTATGGGGGACCAGGGTCAATGGTAACACGGGGCAATTACTCCCTAAAGGTTTTCGCTCGAGCATAGTGTTGGTGAGTAGAGTTATTTCCCTTTGTTTTCCTGGCGTCTATCAGCTGCTCGCTCATGACGAGACGCAGTTGACGAAAAGTCGTTTTTCACATGGGTAAGTAAATTTTTTTTACAAAATGTACTAAAACGTTCTTAATGCAGTAAATGTTGCTTGGTATGAAATTAACGGAATTAACTTTTCAAGTGTAAAATCGAGGTATTACGACATATTTTGAAAAATATTTGAGAAGCCCAAAGTTGTTAACATGTGACTTGGCATGAAACATGGCTACTACCATCGGGGGTAGTTGTAACACTGTGTTACAGTTTCGCCCCATGTAACTTTCACTTGTGTTATGACGACGAAGCAAATTTTATGTTAGTTCTTTACTAGTTTTATCATAGTAGAACATTTTCAGTGTTATGTTGATAGTATGATCCCTCGAGTGAAAGTGTTTGGTTTTAGTCCTTGTATTATAATTATGGCATACGAAACAAGAATTTTAAACCAAAAACATTTTAAATGTCGATGGTGACAAAGATTTAATGTGAATCCATTTCCACCTAAACTGATCAAGATAACATCTTTCCACATTTTATTTTGATTTTATTTGGAAAATAAACAGATTGTTACATTTGAATCTTTGTTACAATTGCCCCGTGCTAGGGGTCAATTGTAACACTTGCAGTCATTGCATTTGAAACGTATTAACTTTGTAACGACATGATAGTGAGATTCAAATGACACTGGGGTTTAAAGCCAAGATGCCAATGTACTAGATAGTAACTTTGTGAGCGTTCGACTAGTATCGAATTACAAAAGTGTTACAATTGATCCCGGTTTCCCCTAAGCTTGGTCTTGTAGCGTCCCAAATATCGCTATTTCTTATTAACTCAACATATATATTTACAATTAGTCACTGTATTAAACCTCGTCACTTTCTGACACACTCCCACTTAATATAAAAGAAATCCAAGCTAACATAATATACTATCCCAAAAAGAAACGCATAGGCGTTTTGCATTTCTATTAATTACCTATTGTGTTCAAACAATCGTCAAAATATGTAACAAAAGTGTTGATAACATGATTTTACACAAATGCACGAGTAAAAAGTCGACTTTACCTGAAAATGTTGATTTTGATGAGATTTCTTACAAGGATCAAAAACGCATCGCCACAACGCAACAAACATCACCTTCCAGTTGAAATTGTGCAGCAAAGAGCATGCACTGTCTGGCTATAAAACCCCAGATTAATTTCGGAAATCGGTATTCGTTGTGAAGGAATTTCAAGGTCAAATCACTACGCCACGTCTTGACGCTGCGACACGGAACAACGCCATTGGAAGAATGCACGCTGGAAATTACCAATCTTCTGTTGCCAGGCGTTTGAATGTAAGCCTGGGCACGATATTACGGCTTACAGCTCGTTACAACCAAACAGGCATAACAAATGACCCTCCCCGTACAGGCAGCCCCCGAGTCACCACTGTAGCCCAAAATCGGTACATCCGGGTACTACATTTGCGTGATCGTACTGCCACGGATGAGATCACAGCAGCCAGGGTGCCTGGACCGGAGGATATCCGGTCAAACTGTACGGAACAGGTTGAGAGTGATTGGACTGAGAGCCAGGAGATCCGTCGTCGGGCCTGTTCTACATCGTCACCATGGCGCTCAACGTCTCCGTTATCTAAAATTATCCACTTGGTTGTGTAGACATTATCATCTTCTAAACTGATGCAAAAATTAATTTCCTAAAGTCTATTTGTGGACGAGTGATACATGTTTGAAAATACAATATTTTCGCAACAGGTTTCTGGCCTATGCGTTTCTTTTTTGGGATAGTATATTTTCCAAATATATCGCTATTTATATTATCAATTCAAACATATTTATTTACATTTACTCATGGTATTAAACCTCGTCACTTTTCCCAAATACTCGCACTTTTGTACACGATATCTGCTTGTAGCTCTTCCTTTGTACAGCTGGTTACCGCGGCAGCAGGAATACAGTGACGAGACGACTGCCTGTCAGCATCCGGGCTTACCGAGAATTTCGGGGAGTATCACAAAACGTCAACAACGACGGAATCGTCTACGTTTGGGGAACATCGTGAAATGCTGGCAAAGCCGCCATTGGGCACGGTATTTGTGGTTGTTTGGCTGCACGGTAAAGAATGGCTGTGACTAAGTATGTCACACCTTTCAAAATATTTACATTTTGCTTTGGAAAATAATCCCAAAGCACCGGGTGTGTACTTTTTTTTGAACGTCAGTTTACTTGGTTGAGTGAGTGAGTTTTGTTTTACGCCACTTTTAGCAATATTCCAGCAATATCACGGCGGAGGACACCAGAAATGGGCGTCACACAATGTATCCATGTGGGGAATCGAACCAAGGTCTTCGGCGTGACGAGCGAAGGCTTTAACCACTAGACTACGCCACCGTCCCTACTTGGTTGAATCTAATCAAGCATGGTTGTCAGAATTAGGGTTACCTCAGGTCACTCAAAGTGTTATAATCGAACGCCTGAGCGAAAATATATTAGAGGGGTTGTGGGGGTTGTGGGGTAGCCCAGTGGTTAAAGTGTTCGCTCGTCACGACGAAGACCCAGGTTCGATTCCCCACATGGGTACAGTGTGAAGCCCATTTTTGGTGTCCTCCGCCATGATATTGCTGGAATATTGCTAAAAGCGGCGTAAAACTAAACTCACTCACTATTAGACACAAATGTTTGATGGTGGCCGAATATGAAACAGACAAGAAACAGTATTGGAAGGTGAGTCAGTGATATACTTCAAACTGGGATCATAGGCGATATTACATGCAGCATATCAATGGATAGCTCACAACATGGAAGCCATATTGACATCCTAAAAATACTAAGTCAGCTCTTGGGGCAAGCAAATGACAGAGACATTCGCTGAAAGTCCAGTAGCTTAAACGCATAAAGGAACATGTGCGAAGCGAATATTTTGAAGTACTAATATCAAGGTACCCTTTGAAATTGGGTCGGCGTTGATGCATTGCTGTATGTTGAAATACGTTTTCGGTATACCACTACAAGCGATATAAACAGGCGGTAGCTACAGGCGGTAGCTACGGAGTTGCGCAAGGTTATATGCTGTACACTCAGGTATTGAACTGACATAGGTACCGTTTTCTCGGTAACTGGCTTCTTACTATACCGATATAACATAAATAAACAAATAAATAAATATTTAAATAAATAAATAAATAAATAAATAAATCGGTGGGTGGATGCACGGATGGATGGATGTATGGGTGAATAAATAAATAAATAAGTAAATAAATAAATCGGTGGGTGGATGGGTGAGTGGATGGACAGATGTACGAAGGCAAGGAAGGAAAGAAAAAACAAAACAAGAACAAACAACAAGCAACTACCAAAACATGTGAATTTCAAAAGCTGAAACTTCCACCAAAGACGAGCCAGACAGTAAACGAGACCGTCTTAATTCATTTTTCACTGAACATGCTTAGCAAAAAAGCATCCGTGAACTAAATTAAAACCTAGTTTGTCATTACACTGCTTGTTTGCCATGTATCATTACCCTTGCCCCCTCCCAACACACACACACACACTCGTACATCCAGCAATCAAAGAACTAGTTAGATGCGAGTGAATACGACAGTCACCCGTTTAACAAATTCGATATTCACACTTTGACATTTCTAAGAGTACTATCGATCAGCCACAAATATACGTGAATTCGCATGAATATTACGCAATATTTATATGTAAAGCTAGATAAACAACTGAGTTAATTGTGTCCCTGACATCGACGTCGCCACACTCGCATGTCCACCACTCACAATGTTAAGCGGGATCCGTTTGTTGTTGTAATTGTCATGGAGATGACGTCACGAGGTATTATACCCGCACTAGCGACACCATAACAAATGCTTCAATGAACGGGTCAATGTAAACACATCAGCGAAGATCGTCCTGTGTCCTCGATTTAAATAACCTGTCTCATTTCTTACTCCCCGAGTTGGATACTTAGCAGCCCGTTCCGGATAATCCAAACTAGGATCATCTCACCTTGTCGAGGTAGGTGAATTATCTTCTGCTCGCGTTGTGTCGTCTGCTTCGGATCGAGTTCCGGTCGATAAGCCATTGGGAAATAGGTCGCGGTGAATGTGTTCACTCGTTACCTGTCGACTGGATAACTGCTGGTTTGACTAAATTGTGATTACATCTGATGCTGTTCTTGTCGAAATGAACATTATGATATTTTATTGAGTGTTTATACATTCAGGAACATGTATGTGTTAGTAACGCACCTGTCGCTTTTCACGACCTTGACCTTGGTATCCGACAGTCGGTTTTGTAAGATTTCAGGTTTTGATAACTGCGTTTGTTTGAAAATTATGTTTATTTGTGTCTCGTTTATATATGTATATACAAACAGACGCATGTGAATGAATGTGTAGGTTTTAGGTTTGTCAGGTTGATAAATCCTCACACTGTATCCATTATGACATTATTTTGACAACTACGAACAACCGTTCTTTCCTGGGTTACGAGGGATTATAATGTTTTACTGAAAATGAATTATTTACATGTTGTAATAATTATACAGTGTTGGATAAAATCCAGTCTTGGATGAAAGATGTGGCAGTGTTTAAATATAAACATTTCAATTCAATGCTTTGTTTTAATCAGTCACGTCGATTATCAATATAACATGCCGATCGTCAATTAAACATTCAATATAATGGCTGCTCATCCTAGTTGTGGCCTGTCTTCAAACATGGGGATTGGTATTTTGTTATACGAAGTATCGGGCCGGTGGAATTAATGTATGCATCAAGGTTATTAAAAAATGACATAGTTCAATATATTCAAGTATATACTATACCTATATTCAGTCACTCTATACATATATTCTGTCACTGGTCTTTCGGGGTAGAAAGGGATGGGTGGTTTTTTGAGGGGTTGTCATGTCAAAATTGAAAAATGACACGACGGATGTTGATGAGGTGTCGTTGCCAAAGTGTATAAAATGTCAAAAAGTGATAAATTTTACATAGTACAGATAGAAATCAATATTTTTATTGGAGGGGTAAGGATAAAATGTTCCATTAAAGTATGTATGTCCTCGCGCGCGTATCTGTGTGTGCGTGCGTGTTTCTCTCTCTGTGCGCGTGCGTGCGTGTGTGAAGCGGAACTTGAATGAGACCCAGCCTGCCTATATGCGTGGCCCTTGGGTTCACCCCGATTGAGTGTGTAACTAGGTTTGACATCACCGTACCTGATGTCGAGGATTTCACCAGAGTGATAAAGGTCAAATACCACCATCCCACACCAAGCTGGCACACCCTCAAGCAACTGGAACAGTTATAAACCACGTTTAACCCAATTCACTCATCATACGCCCATCTATACCCATTTAATTAAATGTATACATAGTTTAATGTCAGCCTAATTATATTAGATGTTAAATTTCGGTTGGTTAAACAATTATACTCATGCCAACAATGGTTGTCACCCCCTTCAAGTTTTTTAATTGGAGACGGGGTGTGGGGTAGGGGTGTGAGGTGTGTGTGGGGTTGGGGTGGGGAGGGGGGTTGACAACCAATATTGGCATGAGTATATAATTAATTTCAGTTATCGGCTCAAGAATCTCTCACTGACAAGAGTACATGTCATGTATTCAGGTTCGTCCAACTTCTAAATGCCTCTCAAAACATTCTCTCACTTACAAGACAGAAAATAGACCCGATGATTTAAATTTCGTACAAATTTGATAAAAGGAAAATTAGTGGTTTCCTGTGTGCTATTCTATGTGTTACTTACTAACATGTTAAACCGAAAAACACACGAACACAAACACAACAAATACACACAATTGACCCCATATCACTCACTCTTCCAAACAATCATATCTGAAGTTGATCTGAACCCATATTGATCCGATGGCACAATGGTATCGATTGGTGACGTCACAAACAATTGCTCAGTGACGTCACGAAGAATGGCTCATTTACATGAATATTGCTCCAAACAGAGTTTCATATGAGCAAGAGAGTAAGCTTTTACGTTGCCTTTTTCACATTTCAGAAATATCACGGCGGGGTACACCAGAAATGGGCTTCACACATTGTACCCATGTGGGGAATTGGAAAATGCGGATTTTCTGTAGCGAGAGAATGAATTGTTTTGCAAGAAAATGTATTTTATATAGCAATATATGTCTGCATGGTAAAAATCGTTTATCATCCAAAACTGTGTTCCACAGGAGATATCGCTTGTGTGAGACCAGACGATATCTCCTAGGAGATATCGTTTTGACAGTAGATTTTGTACAATGCCCTGACAATGCTTTGATGTCATGAACTTGATCACATCACAATGCTATGACATCGCTGCACTGCAAATCTAATGGCAGTACTGTGTTCAGAGATGTACATTTTTCATTGAAAACTAATGAAGAGTGATTTCGGATGATAAATAGAATCTCACCCTCGTGTCTTCTGATATCAAATATATCAACACTTGTTGATAAAGTGAAAATATCCTCGGCAAGCCTCGGATATTTGTTACTTTATCAACTCGTGGTGATATATTTGATATCAAAAGACACTTGGGTGAGATTCTCTATATATGCTTAAAAGTAGCATTTGACCCCCAAATTACAAACAATTACGAGACTAAACGGTGTCCGAAATACTACAAATATAACGGTATTCTTGACAGGTGTCTCTTAAATGTTCAGAAAATTACTTAGTGTGCGCATACATTTTTTGTATGTTACAAACATGTAATTGATTGAAATCTCTACTAAACAATCCAGTCACTGACATCCGGAACATTGGGATATGATGGCATGTCAACGATGTCAGCGAGCCTGACCCCGATCCCGTGAATCGCTACTTGAGTGAGTTTTGTTTTACGCCGCACTAAGCAGTATTGCAGCTATATAGCGGCGGTCATTAAATAATCGAGTCTGTACCAAACAATCCAGTGATCAAAAGCATGAGCATCGATCTACGCAATTGGGATACGATGACGTGTCAACTAAGTCAGCAAGCCTGACCACCCGATTCCGTTAGACGCCTCCTTCCACAAGCATTGGTTACTGAAGATCAATTCTAACCCGGATCTTCATGGGGTTTATTCTGAATGAGAATTGAACCGCCTTCATGGTGTAGTGGTTAAAGCGTCCGCCCGGGGAGCGGAAGCTCGCGGGTTCGATCCTCGACCGCGTCATAACAAAAAGATGTTAAAACATGGTACTTGTTGGTCCCTGTCTGGCGCTCGGCATTAATGGGTACAACAAGAACTGGCGGAGTCAGTATAATGTGTCTGAGTGGGGCATCCATGCTTCACTGCGGCATGGTATCTCTTTGAGCTAGCACTATAAAACCAGCTGAAGTCTTGACTTGTACGAGCAGCCACACATACACACACATGCACGTCGCCATATGAGCGAAATAATCTTAAGCCCGACGTTAAACCCAATTTCACCTCAGTGATGATCGTTGAAAACAGTTTCATCTCAGGCCCTGTGGATAATTTCTGGCAGATCCCTATGACAAGTGGAATATATAGATCAGTTTCAGACGAGTAATCTGTCTGACCAAACAATGATAATAACCTACAGTTCGCGTATCGTCTTCCCAATTGTTCTCGTGTCCCGGGAATCGAAGTCCACCATTATATCAGTTTCATGACTACAGAAATATGTGCGTAACGACAAACCGTTTCCATGGCAATATCTTGCTAAAATGCATTTGTATGTTTTCGTGTTTCAGTGTTTTTAATGTTCTTCCAGGTGTCCTTAGCTTCAGCAAACCCAATTAATGCATTATCACGTCACTAGATTTTTTGTTCCATCAATCAGTTGATTATCTCGTTTCCTCACTCCCTGCCGTTCATGGTGTGAGGTGAGGTGAAATTTGGTTTAACGTCGTGCTTGAGAATATTTCGCTCATATGACGACGTGCATGCGTGTGTTTGTGTATGTGTGGCTGCTCGTACTAGCCCAGACTTAAGCTGGTTTTATAGTGCTAGCTCAATGAGATACCATGCCGCAGTTAAGCATGAATGCCCCACTCAGACACATTATACTGACTCGAGCCGACCAGTCCTTGTTGTACCCATTAATGCCGAGCGCCAGTACCTTTTTTAACATCTGTTGGTTATGACGCGGTCGGGGATCGAACCCGCGACCTTCCGCTCTCCGGGCGGACGCTCTAACCACTACACTACGGAGGCGGTCATTCATGGTGTGAATCCAACTGTCAGACAACAAAGCAACCTTTTTATCACCTGTGTTACGGATGGCGGTAGGACAGCACATGCTTACTCTCTTCACGAACACCTGGTGTCAGCGATCCATTCATATAATGTTCACCTCTGTTTTGCCTTTAACGAACAAAAGAATCAGCTCAGGGCCCCGTTTCACAAAGCTATCGTAGCGCTACGACTGCCGTAAGTCTATGTAACAGAATAGGGCGTGTTGGATAACTGAGGCTGGTTATTCACAGGCGTTTCACAGCCGTTTACGTTCTATGTGCCTCTTTTGCTTCTGTGGTGTACTAGTGTGTGGTCACACAGGGCACCTGGTGTCGATTCCCCAGATGGAACATTGTATGAAATCCAATTCTTGTGATATTGGTGGAAGTTTAAAACAAGCGGCGTAGAAGCAAGTAATGACTGGTTTTTAGAATCTCATCACAATTTAAAGGGTATCACGTCACGTCACGTATTTCCTTGTGCTATTAATGTAGGGGCGATGGGGTAGCCTGGTGGTTAAAGCGTTCGCTCGTCACGCCGAAGTCCTGGGTTCGATTCCCCACTTGGGTACAATGTGTGAAGCCCTTTCTGGTGTCCTCCACCCTGGAATATTGCTGGAATATTGCCAAAACGACGCAAAACCCAAGTCAATCTCTCATTCGAAATATTAGCGTTGAAAGTCACCTGTGTATACACAGATTATCGTGAGAGTGACCACATCATATTGTGATTTTTAAACGGATATTACTCCTGATCGCATCATTACAAAAGAAGTAATGGTACTTTTTATAACCCTGCCTGGCGCTCGG